TAGAAAGACCACCGAAAGTACTGGCTTGGTAGAGACGGTTAAAAACATGTAAAGCTCTGTTTAGACGTTAGCCAAACGTTCGTCTTAGGACTTAGTTTTATTTTCCGTTGATGTGTATCTTCCGGGCGAATGTTACATAGATGTTTTTATGGCGCTCCTGGGTGTTATTCTTTTTTAACATCATGACCGACAGAACCGTTAACGAGCACTCCGCGCCGAGCGGATGCTCACATTAACGCCCTTAGTAGGCCTAAACCGCCGGAGCGGAAGGCTAGTTCGGAACGCGGAAGCCCTCCGGATTACCGTGAATAGCTTTTTAACCTAGTTAAGACCGAAAATTCACGAACCAGGAAGGGTGGGGGGATTCGCGGTCCCGTCATTTCCTGAGTGTTCCGTGACCAAAAACACTTAAAGAAATATATAAAACCAAACAAGAAGTAGTATAGTACCCAAGAAGAACAAAAAACATAAAAAAATATAACCGAAAAAACCAAAAACAGCAAAAAAAAAAAAGTAAAAAATCAGTAGAAATCATCCCCCCAGACAAGATGTGATCCGACCCTCCCGCTTGTTGTTGATAGATATATTGTTGTTACAGGCATTTATATCAGTCAGGATCGTTACGATCAATTTTGTGGACCGTTTGTGAGGCTTGTACTGTAGGGTTATTTGGGCATTTAAGCACGTTAATGATAAATTGCGCTCAATCCGGAATGGTCAGCTGATTTGCGCTCAATCCGGAGGGGTCTTGGGAGAAGATTGATCCGGCAAGCAGTACAAGGAGCAAGAAGAAGGGGCTCAACGAAAACAACAATCGACAATAACAAGTTTTGAATCCCTTTTGGTACAAAAATTAAGATAAAAATCTGTGGGTGGCTCGACAGTGTTGCACTGTAGTGACCCTTCACCGAACTGCGAATATCCGAGTTAACCACCTTAATTCGGATATTAAACAAACCCGGAGGGGTATAGTATTACTAATATTATTACTTATTATTAAGTGAAAAACAAAGAAAACAGACCGGTTTTTAGGGTCAAAATAGCGATATTTTGATCCCCCCACAAGCGATTTTTGAGATATCGATAATTTTTGAAACGGAAAAAAGCGCTAAATTAGTGTATTACATCGTAACAGCACTGCTATAATAGATAGAACCGGTTAAGTTTAATTCGAAAGTGGTTGGAACTATTTTGGTACCGAAAACCGAATTTTCGCGATTTTTGATAGTACTAAACACTATAAATTCAGAAAATTTTTTGAAATTTTTGAGTTAGGACAGTAAAAATAGTTGTTCGGATAACGTCCACTAGTGAATCTACAAGTTTTAAAACCCGCTACCCGGAAGCCTTCCGGGTTGCAGAGAAATCGAACTTAACGTGTTTGATTTGGTGGATTCATCAATCCGGAGTGGTACAGGTAGCATAGTTTTTCGCAATTTTTTTCAACTAAAGCGTTTTAGATCGGGTCTTTTGCATTGAACTAGAAGAGTATAGGCCTTCTGAGCTCGGATCAATAATTTTTAGGTCGAAAAGAACAGAATTGCGGAAAAAGTTAGGCGGAACCTATAAGAGAGAAATTTTTTGACTTTAGAAAAAAGACGTTTTGGTTAATAACTTTGGAACTACTGGACAGATCCAGTCAATCTTAGTACCAATAGATCCGAAATTGGCTGAGCTTACTGATAGGGATAAAAGTTTTTCGAAAAAGCAAACGTGAAAAGTTTTTGAGATTGTTTTTAGCAAATTCACCAATTTGGGAGGGTAGACCCTTCACGTTTTATAAATTTTTTTGGAAAACCCTTACACCCCTACCAAAAGGTAATAGCGGTTGAATAAAGTAACTTTAGGCTGTTCTAGACGAAAAGGGAAGGCTAAAGGCACAAGAAAACCTTAATAGAGCCGAAGTTAGGCTAGCGATAAGACCCTTCACCGTTAGCGTGAATTGTCAAATAAGGGGCTAAACTTCAGCCCGCAAGGGTCTGAGAAAGGATCACATACCCTTCCTAGTTAATTTAAAAAGCATAATAGCATCGAAGAACGTATCCGGAGGGGTATAGGTTGAAAGAAGGAAATCTCCGAAAAGCTAATTCGGAGGGGTCCCAATCCGGAAGGGTCTTGTTTTCACAAAACCGGAGGGGTCCCAATCCGGAGGGGTCTTATATTTACTATTTCAGAGGGGTCCCAATCCGGAGGGGTCTTATATTTGCTAACTCATAGGGGTCCCAATCTGGAGGGGTCTCAATTTTGCCAATCCGGAGGGGTAGTATTTTATTAAAAGACTTAGGTAAACAGAAGAAAAGACTACAGTGAGAGGTATTATGTTATTAGCAGACAGGCTAGGAATCAGTGACTGCACTGGTAACTTGCCTTCAGTAAAAACCAGACCAAAACAAAACAGGTCCGAACTCGGATATTCGCTACACTAAGTCTAAACTAAAAAGAGCGTAATTATTTGGTGTGGATTGAAACCCAATACGTTTTTGTGAAAAGTGACTGCCCTGAGGATTTTAGTAGGTCTAGCTCGGGCAGTCCGAAGGCAGATAGGTAACACAGTACTCGGTGGGTGCAATAGACGCCCACTTGAGAAAATTACTGCCTTCAAAGTTTTTCTGTTTGGTGCAGCACCAAGCAGGGAAAGCTTTTTCTTTAAAATATAAGTTCGACTATTGTACTGCGACCGACTATAAGTACAATACAAATACTTTTTTTTATAGAGATATTCTTATTCTGTCATTATATATATTTTTTTGTTTTTGATTTTAAATCAACATAATTTGTGCTTGATTGGGTAGTGAGTACACTATCTTTTAAATTGACTGATAACATCATATTGTGCTAGTTCTCAAATCTTACGAACGATAATTGGTTAGTGTGAATATATTATATACAAACTGTACTCTGATAACATACAGGGATTCGTGGTCACTATTTAATAGAATCTTGTGAAATTTATTGTGTTGTGTCATTATTATTGATAGTCAAACAATAAGGTCACTAGCAATCGAATTGAGCGTATAGGCATTAAGAAGTGACAGATTGAGAATGAGTCTAGACACATCAAGGATACCTAAACGAGGTAATAGCTCTAGGAAATTCATACCTAAAAAGCAAAGAAGAACAATGACCGACCCTTTTGTGGATCGGATCAAACGAGCCCGGACCGACAAAGGGGAGACGGTTTCAGGCAGAATGGTTGAAACGAGGAGTCAGAAGACCTCAGAAGAGAGAAAAGAAATGTTAGAAGTGGAGGTCAATACAGTGGAGGTTTTAGATCGGGTCTTTTGCATTGAACTAGAAGAGTATAGGCCTTCTGAGCTCGGATCAATAATTTTTAGGTCGAAAAGAACAGAATTGCGGAAAAAGTTAGGCGGAACCTATAAGAGAGAAATTTTTTGACTTTAGAAAAAAGACGTTTTGGTTAATAACTTTGGAACTACTGGACAGATCCAGTCAATCTTAGTACCAATAGATCCGAAATTGGCTGAGCTTACTGATAGGGATAAAAGTTTTTCGAAAAAGCAAACGTGAAAAGTTTTTGAGATTGTTTTTAACAAATTCACCAATTTGGGAGGGTAGACCCTTCACGTTTTATAAATTTTTTTGGAAAACCCTTACACCCCTACCAAAAGGTAATAGCGGTTGAATAAAGTAACTTTAGGCTGTTCTAGACGAAAAGGGAAGGCTAAAGGCACAAGAAAACCTTAATAGAGCCGAAGTTAGGCTAGCGATAAGACCCTTCACCGTTAGCGTGAATTGTCAAATAAGGGGCTAAACTTCAGCCCGCAAGGGTCTGAGAAAGGATCACATACCCTTCCTAGTTAATTTAAAAAGCATAATAGCATCGAAGAACGTATCCGGAGGGGTATAGGTTGAAAGAAGGAAATCTCCGAAAAGCTAATTCGGAGGGGTCCCAATCCGGAAGGGTCTTGTTTTCACAAAACCGGAGGGGTCCCAATCCGGAGGGGTCTTATATTTACTATTTCAGAGGGGTCCCAATCCGGAGGGGTCTTATATTTGCTAACTCATAGGGGTCCCAATCCGGAGGGGTCTCAATTTTGCCAATCCGGAGGGGTAGTATTTTATTAAAAGACTTAGGTAAACAGAAGAAAAGACTACAGTGAGAGGTATTATGTTATTAGCAGACAGGCTAGGAATCAGTGACTGCACTGGTAACTTGCCTTCAGTAAAAACCAGACCAAAACAAAACAGGTCCGAACTCGGATATTCGCTACACTAAGTCTAAACTAAAAAGAGCGTAATTATTTGGTGTGGATTGAAACCCAATACGTTTTTGTGAAAAGTGACTGCCCTGAGGATTTTAGTAGGTCTAGCTCGGGCAGTCCGAAGGCAGATAGGTAACACAGTACTCGGTGGGTGCAATAGACGCCCACTTGAGAAAATTACTGCCTTCAAAGTTTTTCTGTTTGGTGCAGCACCAAGCAGGGAAAGCTTTTTCTTTAAAATATAAGTTCGACTATTGTACTGCGACCGACTAAAAGTACAATACAAATACTTTTTTTTATAGAGATATTCTTATTCTGTCATTATATATATTTTTTTGTTTTTGATTTTAAATCAACATAATTTGTGCTTGATTGGGTAGTGAGTACACTATCTTTTAAATTGACTGATAACATCATATTGTGCTAGTTCTCAAATCTTACGAACGATAATTGGTTAGTGTGAATATATTATATACAAACTGTACTCTGATAACATACAGGGATTCGTGGTCACTATTTAATAGAATCTTGTGAAATTTATTGTGTTGTGTCATTATTATTGATAGTCAAACAATAAGGTCACTAGCAATCGAATTGAGCGTATAGGCATTAAGAAGTGACAGATTGAGAATGAGTCTAGACACATCAAGGATACCTAAACGAGGTAATAGCTCTAGGAAATTCATACCTAAAAAGCAAAGAAGAACAATGACCGACCCTTTTGTGGATCGGATCAAACGAGCCCGGACCGACAAAGGGGAGACGGTTTCAGGCAGAATGGTTGAAACGAGGAGTCAGAAGACCTCAGAAGAGAGAAAAGAAATGTTAGAAGTGGAGGTCAATACAGACCAGGCCAGGAATGACAACCAGGAAGGACATGGACTAGAAGGGAGAGGCAGAAGGCTGGCGAGTGAATCTACTCCGGTAGAACAAGGCCATGATTTTGCCACTTCCACCGGGACATTGGATCGAGAAGAGATGTCGGAACTGTCCGACATTTCAACTGAAATTGTGGCAACTAGAAAGTCTCCAACAGACAACACCATGATGGCAGGCGGGACTGAGAAACAAACAACGTCCTCATCGTTCTCAGAAAGAATGAGGAACACCTTAGGAAACATCTTTCCATTCACCATGGGAGTGGGCACAGGAAATGAAGGTGAATCCCAGGAGGAAGAAGAGGATGAAGACGAGCAAGTGGATTTTGGATCTCAAGTCAGCCTCTATAGTTCGACCCAGGAGAATGAGGCATACGTCGAAAGAGAGACTGGAACCATGGACAAATTTGGTGTGGTGATAACGATAAGCAAAGAGGTAAACACACCGGGCCAGTCGATATTCTTCGCGGTTATGACAAGTTCAGAGCCGCAAACTGGGGAGAGTAGAAACAAAGGGCTAGGCAACGCATTGGCCGATCCTGATGTGGATAATGAAAAGACGTCGAGGCAGAGAGTCAAGGCCCGAATCTCCACCAGCACGAGGCTACCTGGGACCGACAGGGTTACACCGCCACTAGTGACGCCACTCGTAGATAACGGGGCAGCACTAGAAGGAGCCTTGAACAACATAGTGGACAGTCTAGGAGAACAAAATGAACAGATGTCCATAAGAATGAGTGAACTAGAAAGAGCAGTTCACATTGAAAGAGAAAGTCTGCTGGAAGAAATAAACATAACCGCAATAGACAAGAAGTTGGTAGGAGCAAAAAACGCTTGAAAGAAAGAACGGACGAGCACATAGCGAAGAACTTGTCGCGAATGACAAGAGAAGCGGAACAGAGAGAGTTACGCTTAAGAGACGACATGGAGAAGTTAAGAATTCAGCAAGAGCAGTCTCTTGGGACTCTTGACACAAAGATAGACGCGATGATGGAGAGGCGAACCCAGGCTATCATGGCTAGGTTGGACGGGCTACTAGGAAGCAACAGTGGACAAAAAGAAGGGGAACCGAACTCGGGAGGTCCCAGCAGGGAGCCGAAGGTGAACTTCAATGACCATCAAAGGAGGAGGACATATGGATCCACTAGAGGTAGGGGCAGTTCATCAGGCTATGCCACAAGGGATAATAGAACATGGGGCCCGAACAGTAGAGCAAGTTCATCGGGGAACAGACAGACCTCTAACGAACGACCAACGCAAGGCACACATGCGACTGGGAGAAGTGATTCCGGTAACAGGAGATATGCGAGCCCAGGGAGGAGTCATGTGGGCCAAGGGGGAAACACTCACGGCGGGACACTCAAGGGATGCTACGGCAATGGCCACAGCCTTTGAACCCCTAAACAGGTCTTTGGAGACATTCCTTACAAGGTTATCCAGAACCAATGAACGCAGTGAGAAGTCCAGAAGAGTCTTTAAGAAACCAAGTTGCTATAAAGACGAATCTGATGGCTGTATTGACACCTGGATAGAGGTAATGAAACTGCATTTCGAGGAAGAGGACTTGTCGGAAAGACAAGAGTGCAGTGCGCTCACCAGCAACTTGGAAGGGACAGCCCTGAACTGTGTCATCGCCAAGAAGCAATATCAGCGTGACACAGCCGAGAAAATCTTCGAAATCTTGTTAAACCGTTTTGGATCAGGGGTGCAGGGACACCAGTCAATGATGCGCTTCAAGAAACGGAGGCAACGAGAGGATGAAACGATAGACAGGTTTCTAGACGACTTGGAAATGTTGAGAAGACGCAGCCAACCGGATGAGTCAAACCGAAGGATGAACCTGGCAGTAGCCTCAAAATTCATCGATGGTGTGAAGAATGATGAACTTCGGACAATGCTGGCAACGCATTACACAACACTATCAACTAATGCGCCGACACCAGAGGAGTTGAGGCTCAAGTCAAAAGAATATCTTTTATTGAAACCTCCTTCGAGATCTGGTTTTTATAAGAACAATTATGGCAATTTTAACAATGGGCCAGCAAACCAAGGGAACAACTGGTACAAACCGAGGGATGATATGGACAAGAGACGCTCTTGTGCCAATTGCGGTTCAACAGACCATCACGTGTCAGCATGCCCAACTTACAAACAAGGCATGAAAGCAATAGGCTTTAGCCTCGAGGACGAAGATGCGTCAGAAGTTGACCATGAGGATTTCATGAGAGGAGTAATTGCAAAATTCGGCCCGAGGTGTGTCTTTTGCAACTTGGAAGGTCATTTTAAATCAGATTGTCCACAATTCTGGGATGCAGTGGCAGACATCAAGCATCCAAGGCATGAGAAATCTTTATCAGGAGTGAAAGCCAGCAAGGCTCGCCTGTTGAGTGAAGCGGAGGCGCGCAGAAAAGACAAACCGCAGGAGCTGGTGACGAAGAAAATGCAAGCGGTAACTAAAGAGACACGTGAACCGGAATCAGTGACTGCGGCCGATGTCTTCAAGATTGATTATAGGGCAGCCGCAGGGGATGCTCTGAATAGAGTGCAGCAGGAACTGGTGACGAAAGAGATCGAACAAAAAGTGAAACTCGAACTGGAGCATGAGAAACTACAGGAGCAACTGAATACCTTCGAAGCAACGGAGGTCGAGGAGACTAAATCACCAAGCAGTTTGAACATGAAACTTAATGTGATATCCGGTCAGAGGTTCGGCATGGTGCCACAAGGAAGCAAGATACGGTCGATAATCTCAGTGGCTGGACATCAGGTAATCAGAAATCTGAGTGAACCATCCGAGTTCACTTTGATGCATTTGGACACATATGCAGATTATCTGAGGCAGGTGGAGCCACGCACTGAATCGAGAGCTGTGCGAGCACTACTAACAACGGGTGGCCCTCGCATGAAGAAACTTCATGGACGCTACCTGGAGGTCTATGGGCCGTATCAAGTGATGCTGAACGTGGATGGAATCAGTATCTACACTAGGACTTATGTAACAACAGATAGTGACCAAATGGGGCAGATCTATTTGGGTGAGGAGGAACTCAAAGTCCGCAGGATAGGCCATGACGCCATGATGGAACAAGATGCAGTACACATTGGGTATGAAGCAGATGTGACCGCACATCTGCTCGACACCAACGGAAAGAAAATCGGAGTCACAAGGCTTCTGGACACAGGAGCGGTAGTGAGTGTGATGCCGATAAAAACTTGGGAAAGAATGGGCTTCACGAGGGAGGATCTAACTCCAACGAATCTCCGACTGGCCGCCGCCAATCGAGGAGCGATCTACGTAGCTGGAAGAACACCAATAACGGTTCTCCACCTGGAAGGACGGGATCTTTGGATGAGCTTCCTGGTGGTAGAAAATTTGGACGACGACGACCAATTCATCTTGGGCAGAGATTTCGTCAGGAATGTTGACGTGATGATTGACTTGAACAACGGTCTGATACGGATTAGAAACCCAGACCGGAAGTATGTTAGGAAACCAATTAATAGGATAATAACAGACGAAAACAAGGTACCAATTTTTTTAGATAGAAAAGTGAAGCTACAGCCAGGACAAGCTGTGGTGGCAATTTTTAGAATGAGGAATTTAAATTCGTTAAGCGATAGTAAACAGGTTTGTTTAGTACCGAAACCAGATAGTCAGAGTTCGGTGATTTTTGTCCGGAGCTTCTCGGTAACGCGAAACGGACTGTGTGTCAGTGTGTTATTGAACACACTGGACACCACGGTTTCAATCCAGCGTGGAGAAAAGCTTGGTTACGCTTTGCCGATGAGGACCGACTATGAGGAGAAACAAAACTTGAAGAAACACAGTGTGAAAGACTGTCCTTTTCATGCCAATAAAGATAAAATTTTAATGAGGATTAATGAATTAAAATCTATTCATAAATTGATTTCAATGAAATCCGAAACGCGCGACGGCTTATCGAGCTGCTCGAATTTTCCGGAACGCCCCTCGTCATATGAACTAGAATCTGACAAACCAGTTTTGCCAGAGATAGAACATTTAAAAGGGAAAATAGGTGAGGGAGATTTAGAAAAATTGCGGGACCTCTTAAATCGGAACGCAGATGTATTTTCAAAACATAAGGCGGATATCGGTTGCTGTAATTTCGTCGAGCACGAAATCGAACTTGAAGAGGGCGCCGTTCCCCAAGGGGAAGGCGCAAGACGAATGACGCCACACAAGTCGGAAGCGTGCCGAGCGGAAATTGAAATGTTGCTTGAATACAACATGATAGGACCCTCGAAATCGCCATGGGCTTGCGGGGTAGTAAGGGCGAAGAAGAAAGGGGGCAGTTTAGGTTTTGTTGCGACTTTCGTTACTTGAACGCGGTAACGATAAAAGATGCGTACCCGATACCGCGAATAGACGAGAGCCTCTCTAAGCTTGGTGATGCCAAGTTCTTCACCACATTGGACTTGGGTTCTGCCTTCTGGCAGGTCCCTCTGCGGAAAAAGGATAGAGAGAAAACCGGATTCGCGTGCGAATTGGGATTTTACCAGTGGAAGAGGATGCCCTTCGGCTTGTGCAATGCAACGGCCACTTTTCAAAGACTGATGGCTCAGGCTTTGACCAGAATGACCAAGAAGTACGGGAATCTCTTTATGTGTTACGTGGATGACGTAGTCATAGCGACACCGACCCTGGAAGACCACATTGATAGGATCGATGAGGTCTTTGGATAAATGAAAAGAGCAGGCTTGAAATGCAAACCATCTAAATGTGAAATCCTTAGGGATTTGATCAAGTACCTGGGAAGAATGGTGGACAGGCATGGTGTGAGGCCAGATCCGGAAGCAGTAGAGGCTGTGTTGACATGGAAGGCTCCGAGAACGGACACACAGCTAATGAGCTTCCTAGGGTTTGCCAATTATTACCGGGAGTTCAATAAAGGATATGCGGACAAGGTGTATCCGATGCAGAAGCTGATGCGCAACAAAGGGAAAAAGTTCGAATGGAACGACGAAGCAGAAGTTGCCTTCGAGAACATAAAGCGGGAACTGTGCGAAGCGCCAGTGCTAGGCATGCCTACAGAAAAGGGCACAGACGCATCGGTAGTAGCCATCTCAGGAATTTTGCATCAGGAGCAAGAATGGAACGGAAGAACAGTTCTCCGTCCCATTGCATACGGCAGCAAGGTCTTGAGTGACACTGAGATGAAATATGGCGCACCATGTTTGCAGTAGTCACATTTGTGGAAAAATACCGCGCATACTTGGGGAGCGCTCCCTTTAAGTTACGCGTAGACAACAGAGCGATATCCTGGTTGAAGACCTACTCGATGGATCAGAGTTACATTGGTAGATGAATAGTAAGATTGGATGGCTACCACATGATAATCGAGCACAGGATGCGTGATAAACAACAGAATGCTGACAGCCTCAGTAAGAAAACTGAGTTCTATGAAAGATTGGAGCAGAAGCAAGCCAATCAAGCAGAAATAAAGGAGGGATTCTCGTTTCTGGACAAAGAAACCTATGAAGCGCTTCCCTTAACCAGATGGTTGGACAAGTCTGGACATCCAATTCCAGGACACCCCGAGTTACCTGTAGAGAAAGCAGCCGAGATAAAGATCCTGTCCAAGGAGGACCCGGTCCCCTTGGATCTGTTGCTGCGCTCGAATCTGGTCCAGCAAGAACTCTCTCGCATGAACATAAACAGCCTCTCATTATTGGATAAAACGGTGCAGGTCACATCGCAAGTGATGCGGATGCTGGGTGGATTGTTAGAAAGAGAAGTGACCAGAGATGACCCCGAGTGGACAGCAGCAGTGGTATTGCTAACAGTCAGTGAGAAGGTGAAGATCATGCCGTCCAGACGACAACACGAAGAGAACGAGAGGGATTGTAGGATAATAGTTCACTAACTAGTATCCTCAATACCCCACGAGATTTTAACCAGTACTTCTTACGGACGGAAAGTACAGGGAAGCAGTACGCGTAGGAAAACCGTTACCTTCGTGGATCAGGATAAAGAAGGTGAGAAGGTAGAACAAAACCTGCTGCAAGATTGTTTGTCCGGGGAGACGAACGATGAGAAGAGCCAGCAAGTACAAGATCAACACCCGGGACAAGAAAGTTTGTCCGGTGAGTCTGAGATAGATGAAAAAGTTCCTGATGAGAAATAGGACCTGGCGAACAAGGTTTTGCCTGGGCAGTTCAGATGGATGCGAAGAAGGCACAGACATGATCTGGAGGAGCGTGCCAACTCCATCACAACTTCTTCAACAGATGACAATTCCCGAAACTCAGGAATTGACACCTATTCAGACAGGAACTCGCGCTCGGGATCAGAACTGTCCGAACTAGCGATCCACACACTACTAGTGGAAACTCGGGCAAGGGATCTGGACAGAGAGGTGTACCAGGATCCTGACAGTGATCGCTACCTTATACCAAGCGGAAGAGTCTTTGACAACGCAGCGGATGATTTGGAGACAATAGCGGTATCGAAACGTTCGATAAGTCTGTTGCCACAAAAAGAGGTAGTCAGGACTGATCTTCAGCCGTTCCAGCAAGAAACACAGCCGCTGGCGAAGATTTGGTGCGTTAAGATGGAAGAAGACACACATCAGACCAATGAGCTGAATAGTCAGATGAGGGTCATGAAGAAGTACTTGAAGGCGAGGTACAGACTCTCGGATCTTCTCAGGGCGCAGAGAAATGATCGCATGACAAGCAACCTGAAAAAGTGGATCGAGAAAGGTTCTCCCGATAAAGGGGACCTCGAGGAAGATAGTTATCGCATCCTGAGACAGTACTTCATGCAGAAGGAAGGGAGGTTATATTTGAACAAAGACGGGATTGTGGCTTGCAAAAGAAGAGAGGAAGACAGAGTCCTATACAAGTATAACGCGATAGTGTTACCGCAACTCTATCAGACAGAACTATTATTCAGGTCGCATGATCAGATGGGCCATCAGGTGATCGACAAGGTACATCAGAGGATCCTGAAGCGCTTCGAGTGGCCTGGATTGAAAAAGGCATGTGAGAATTGGGTGACAGCGTGCCTGTCATGCCAACAGGTCAAGGATTCAAGGAAATTGCGATTTCCTTTACAATCGATCGAGTCGTCTGAATTCAACGAGGTGGTGCAGATAGATCACCAAAAGATATGCATGACAGACAGCGGTTATAACCAAGTCCTGGTCATGATAGATCACTTTACGAAGTATGCAGAGGCCGTGCCCTGCATAATTGCCTCGGCGGAAGAGACATGCGACCACCTGATCAATACGTGGATAGCGAGACATGGTTGTCCGATGACGTTTCAATCAGATAATGGAACAGCTTTCGTAGGAGAGCTTACGAAAGAGCTTATGAGACGCTCGCAGGTTGCTCAGGCTCACTCCACGACATACCACCCCCAGACGAATGGCTTAGTGGAAAGACAGAATAGGACGTTAGTGTCGATGCTGAGAGTATATTGTTCCAGGTACATGACCGATTGGGACAGATACCTTCCACAGGTGATGGGAGCCTATAATAGCACGCAACACTCCACCACTGGAGTTAGTCCACACATGATGCTAACTGGACACGAGAAGTCTTTACCCTTAACCTTTTTCTACCCAGAGTATGAGGGAAAGAAAAATCTCCACAGGTCTATGTGAGGGATGTGATCAGACGTCAACAGGAGTTGAACGATTTATGCAGACAAAATACTCAGCAAGCACAGGCAAGGCAGAGGAAAAAATTCGACAAGAAAGCAGCTGGTGTAAAAGCTTACAAGGTGAGAGATTACGTATGGGTATTTCAGAACGTTATACCACCGAAAGGAACGAAAAAACTTGGAACTTAAAAAAGTGGAGGGGACCCTTCATGATAACGGAAGTGCACCAGGAGGGACGCTTTTATAGACTGAATACTAGCCGAGCCGCCCACTACGAGAACATTAAGCCACACAATCCATCGACAAAAGACTGGTGTATACCTGCAGACATGGAAGAACGGGATTATCTAATGATGGATCCTGCTTGTGAGGTCAACGAGAAGGGCACCAGGGAGAAGAACGATGGAAACGAAGTCGTGGAGGAAGGAATGGATACACCGCAGGACCTGGATCCAAACGAGGTGATCGGAGCGGACGATGAAACCTTACCCTACGCAGAGGAGGATTGGCAGGATCCCGAACAGATAGAGATTCCCAAGAACTTGGAACCGGATCTTCCGTTCACGATACAGACTTGTCAGAAGGACGGGACAAGACCAAGAAAGAAATATAATCCTTACGATGACGACTTTGTAGTGGATAGGTTAGATCTGAAGAAGATAGTGGAAGAAGAAGTGGGTCTAGAAGAAATAATAGTGTCACAAGACATTGACATAGTCAATGATCACGACGATGAGTGGGTCGACGACCGGTCGAAACCCGAGGTAGAATTCGACGACGAGCAACAGCAGTCATATGAACATGACCTGACGAACCTGCGTGTCTTAGAGTGGCTGAACGAAATGACCTCGGACCCAGAGGGGACCAGCGTCACGATTCAAGACGTAGATCGTGAAAGCATGAAATACATCAAGACCGAACGAGATGATCCTCCTGGGAAGGACAACTACTCATTCCAGCTTCTAACCTCGACTTGATACCCGGTATGTGATCGACGGGGAAGTCGATGGATATTTTTGTCCGGGGAGTGGGGGTAGGACTTACCCACACTGAAAACTTGATAATAAAAAAATTAAGAGTAGCAAGAGAAACAGGAGACTTAGAAGCAGAGACAGGCGAAGAACCTAAGAAACCTGACATAGGGAGGGTAGTTGAGTCATATTTTAACTTACCAAATGAATATTCAAGTAACATAATACTAACAGACAGTGATTTCATACTCACAAATAGAACATGTGCGATAGCAATCACAGCAGACATGAGTTTTAGGACGGCGTTAGCGGCACATTTTAAGAGAGAATACAAAAACGTAGAGTTCCTTTGGAAGCAACGACCAGGAGTAGGGGGCGTAGCAGCCTTACCTCCGGCGGCGTCACAGATAGCGGGAAAATACCTATGCTTCTTGGTGACGAGGGCGACGGAGAAGCAGCACGTGGACCCAGAGAACCTAGTCTTATCGTTGACGAGGTTGAGAGACTTCCTCGTTGAAATGGACGTGAAGGAGCTCTCGCTTCCAGTGTACGATCCAAACAGAGGACGACTGCATCCTCGGGAGTTGTACGCGCTTGTACACGTGATATTCTCTGATACTAGTATACAAGTACATTTACATAAGAAATATTACTTAAGTATACGCTGAGTGACGTGCGAGAAGGTGTTAGGCTAAAAACTAAGTTGTATGTAATGTGTGATATGTGTGTTATGTTATGTTATGTGTTATGTTATTAAGCTCTTGGTTAAGAAGGGGTTAGTGACCATGAACAACTGAATGACGATCTTAGGAATAGATCTAAAGCTTGGACTGTCCAATCTTAGGTCGAATTCCAAAGTTTTAGAGACCGATTGATTTTGATAAATTTTAGAATAAAAATCTTCTTATCTGACTGTTTTAAATAAATTTTAACGATATCTGTTAAGGTGAAACTGACAAGTGTGATATTTGTGACTTCTTTTCTAGATCCTGATTGATCATTTAATCAAATAAACCTTTGAATCAAATCGAATCGAACTTGAAGAACAGAATGGACAATTTCAACTTGGATGAATTGATGGACCTGGCAGAGGCATATGTAGAACCGATGATAGATGCGATCTATCGTCGGCTGATAGATCGAGACATTGCTCTGGAGGACCCAGAGGTAGTCATGTTGCTGACCGCCCTGATCAACATCTTGGGGCATGACAACCGTGGGGACCGCCCCACGGAAGTCCTGTTGATGGCAGCATATGGAGAGAGGGGAGTGCTAGACCGCCCGAACATGAGAGTGATGAGGTGGAGAAACGGGGCTCTCTCAGGGAGTGACTTGGCGAATGAGCCTGGATTGGGAAGTTCTAGGACCTACCAACCAGGTGAAATGCCTATGCCCTCCAAGCCCAAACCTGGGCTGACGAGGATGCATCAGGAGATGAACAGCGAGGCTGCCTCGTCTGGTTCACCACTGAGAGCAGCTGTGCCACCAAAGAGGGCGAAAGTGGGACAAAAGGTTCAGACGAATCAAACCATGCAAGATCTGAATGGGATGAAGGATGAACTGGAAAGGACGAAAAGGGAGCTGGACGAGATGACCAAAACCATGCTCATTACGGAGGAAGATCGGGACATGTGGAAAAGATTGTTCGAATACTGCAACAAAAAGCAGGGTCAAGAAATTGAGCGCTTGAGGCAGGACTACAAGGAGCGATCGGAACGGATGGCGTTGACAACGGCCGTGGAGAAAGTGATACCTGCGAGGAGTATTCCTCGTGGGCAGTCCCCGATGGAGCTCTTGACGCCTCGAGAATTGAGTCAGACAACGGAGACACGGCTCCCGACAGCGACAGATCGAGTGACAATCCCGGACCCTAGTGACACCTTGGGTGACCCCGTCGTGGAACAAACGGTGAGGAAGCTGATAGAGACAGCTGGACGACTGGTCGCCAACAAGAATGCGCCAGGTTCTGGGGTGACTGCACCCTATGGAACGATCGATGACACGGGCAGAGTACGACTCTCCTAGACCGTGATCATACAGGGAATAAGCGACGTAACGCCACTAATGGGGAGCTCTAAGACCCCAGAAAGAAGAATACAGAAGATGCCAGCGAAGAAAAAGTCACGTGTAATGGACATACAAAAGAACAATCAGTTGAGATATAACTTTACGGGAGTTCCGGAGACAGATCCGAGAGCTTGCTTCAATCGAGCGACTTGGAACCCGGCAGTAAACCTGCAACAAACGCCATTGGGGACATCACATCTGATACTGGGAGACAGCTTGGTCAGAGTACTATCGAATTTGAGGACCTCTTGGGTCACCACGGTGATGGCCTTCGGAGGAGCGACTATAGCCCAGTGATATCGGATGGTGGAACTAATGAATCCAGGGAGGATCCCCAGTGTGATGATCCAGGTTGGAACGAACAACATCTCGAGAAATTCGGATGAGGAGGAAGCACTATGGGAATCGATGATGGTGTGCTTGTTTACTACCCTCTGGCAGAAATTCAATTGCGCGGTACTGACCGTTTGCACTGTGCCTATGAATACAAGAAGCTTGACAGCAGCGGGGAGAAGGCACAACGAAGGAGTGGTCAGGTGGAACAATATTTTGAGGAATCTCGCAAGTCGGAATGCCGGAAGAATGATCCTAATGGACATCGAACATGAATTGAGAGCTATGGATCAGGCCAGACTGACCACGGACGGCATCCACTTCGATAGTATCGAAGGACAGGCTTGGTTGAATCGAGTTTTCCAAGAGCGGTTGGATGAACTAGAGGTGGAACTCTTTGACACAGGAGTGCTGAAGGAAGAAGGAACAGCGAATGACGGGGTGATTACCACCTTTGTGCCTCCTAGCCTGGAAACACGCTTGGGGACGGTCCCGGCCGTCACGAAATACAGACAACAGAGTTCCAGCGAACCAGGTCAAAAGACAGACGTACAGGATCGATTGGGAGAAGCGCCGATGGGGAGGACCATCCATCCTAGGAGAAGAATAGGACCTGTCAACCCAATTGAAGAGACAGACAGCACGTCTAGATCGGACACGAGATCGGAGACAACTAGTACCAGTAGAGTATAACCGACTGACAGTATCGGAGGCTTTGTCGATAGATGAACCCGCCGGTGGATACATGGAGATGTTGGAGTATCGAAACTCGGCTAGAGGGTATGTGATAGCTCTGGAAGACAAGAGTGCCATGGAGGGTTATCTGGAGACAATATTGCAAGGCACCACCCTCAAGCAGAAGGCGTACGGGACTTTAGCGTCGTCTGAGATACCGGCAGAAACGATGGAGCAGTTGGTGAGCCTTCCATGGAAAGCAGTGGTGTTACGGTATTTCGAAGAAGAGATGAGGACTGCGCCAAGAATACACGCTCTCATGGCAGTACCTTACGTAAGAACAGAGTTACAACTGAGGTTCGCCTGGTGCATGATGGGACTGACTCGCGAAGAATATGATTCAGAAGAAAGGAAGAGGTCAAAAGAAGAGAAGGTTTTCCTTATGACGAACCTGAGGGATCTGATAATCCAAGAGGGAGCAGCGGTAGCGTGTGCGAAGCGGAGAGACGCTCTCTGTTTCATTCCATTCATGATGGAGCAGATTTCAGTACCTGCATTGAGCACTTTCGTTAAGATGCTGAGGGAAGGCGATGAGCGAGCGAAAGCCTTACTCTTGCTAGCACTGCTGCATATGCAGCAAAGCAAACCGATGAGGGTGAATATGAAAGAACCCGAGGAGTTAGAGCCCATGAGGAAGATAGACGAAATCAGGAGATTTTCAAACAAGGAGCTGAGACTCACTAAAGAGTCTATGGGGGCACTGCCGAAATCCAGTGAGTACTGTGGACCGATCAAGAAGAAGTCGTATAGCTACGTATCCGGAATCATAGGGATAGCGTACAACCCTTTCCTGAGTGAATGCCGGAAGAATGCCTTTCCTGATTGAATGCCGGAAGTCGGAATGCCGGAAGAATGATCCTCATGGACATCGAACATGAGTTGAGAGCTATGGATCAGGCCAGACTGACCACGGACGGCATCCACTTCGATAGTATCGAAGAACAGGCTTGTTTGAATCGAGTTTTCCAAGAGCGGTTGGATGAACTAGAGGCGGAACTCTTTGACACAGGAGTGCTGAAGGAGAAGGAACAGCGAATGACGCGGTGATTACCACCTTTGTGCCTCATAGCCTGGAAACACGCTTGGGGACGTTCCCGGCCGTCACGAAATACAGACAACAGAGTTCCAGCGAACCAGGTCAAAGGACAGACGTACAGGATCGATTGGGAGAAGCGCCGATGAGGAGGACCATCCATCCTAGGAGAAGAATAGGACCTGTCAACCCAATTGAAGAGACAGACAGCACGTCTAGATCGGACACGAGATCGGAGACAACTAGTACCAGTAGAGTATAACCGACTGACAGTATCGGAGGCTTTGTCGATAGATGAACCCGCCGGTGGATACATGGAGATGTTGGAGTATCGAAACTCGGCTAGAGGGTATGTGATAGCTCTGGAAGACAAGAGTGCCATGGAGGGTTATCTGGAGACATTATTGCAAGGCACCACCCTCAAGCAGAAGGCGTACGGGACTTTAGCGTCGTCTGAGATACCGGCAGAAACTATGGAGCAGTTGGTGAGCCTTCCATGGAAAGCAGTGGTGTTACGGTATTTCGAAGAAGAGATGAGGACTGCGCCAAGAATACACGCTCTCATGGCAGTACCTTACGTAAGAAAAGAGTTACAACTGAGGTTCGCCTGGTGCATGATGGGACTGACTCGCGAAGAATATGATTCAGAAGAAAGGAAGAGGTCAAAAGAAGAGAAGGTTTTCCTTATGACGAACCTGAGGGATCTGATAATCCAAGAGGGAGCAGCGGTAGCGTGTGCGAAGCGGAGAGACGCTCTCTGTTTCATTCGATTCATGATAGAGCAGATTTCAGTACCTGCATTGAACACTTGCGTTAAGATGCTGAGGGAAGGCGATGA